GAATAGTATATGGTAGCCAATCTTGACATCAACTGTAGATAAATGGCCGATAAGGAGGCTATCTTTTTCTTTCGACACCGACAGAGTCTAGATGGATTGTGGAGTAGGAGTTAGTTCGAAAAACTCGATGTTGCTCTGTTTTCATGTTTGGAAAATAATATAGAAAAGGTATTCTCTAAGCCTGTAAAAGCGTATTTAAAAGGGCTGGGTACAAAAATACAATACCGAAATATACATACAGCTGGACGTTTCTCAAATATTAGCTGGTTAAGGAATGCAAATGTCACTAAATGGTGCCACACTACACAGAACTGATCAGGTTAAATATCTAGGTCTAACTTTGAATAGGAAACTAAATTGGAGACCTTACATCAATGAAAGGGTCCACAAAGCCACAACTGCCATATACTCCTGCACGAGGGCTATTGGCCAAAACTGGGGTCTGGAGCCCAAAATTGTAACATGGATCTACACTGCGGTGGTAAAACCGATTCCTTTCTACGGGGTAGTAGTTTGGCGGGATTCTCTCAATAAAAAGATTAACTCTAAGAAAATGAGCAAAGTTCAACGACTGGCTTCTCTACTGATAACAGAAGCCATGAAAACAACAGCCACAAAAGCACTCAACACGCTGCTAGCATTTCTCCCGACGGATCTATATGCAAAAACGTGTGGCTCAACGCGACAATAAATGAACGCATCCACACATCGGTTACTGCAAAATTCTGAACGACCTTGCTCAGTTTCCTACGATTACATTCCACCCACCCGCACTTCCAAGGCCGTGTTCACTACCCTTCTTCCCTCAAGGGAGGAATGGTCAATGGACACAGTCAGTAAAAGCGGATCCATCCATGTCTACACGGACGGTTCGAAGTTCGAAAAATGAGCAGGTGGTGGGGTCTATTCTGAATATCATTCAGCGTCCGCCTCTCTGAAGACTGCAGTGTTTTTCAGGCGGAACTGATGGCTATCTCTAAGGCCGCATCACTGGTCCAGTGTGATAGGATTCCTAGTCATGATATCTATTAACTGACAGCCAGGCGGCGGTAAAACCTCTGGGAAATATGTCGCTGACGTCAAAAGTAGTTGCTCAATGCCGCCGATCCCTCAACGAGATGGCTGAGAAATTCAGCACACACCGTGTCTGGGTACCTGGCCATTGCGACATTCAGCGAAACCGCAAGGCTGACGAACTCACGCATCATGCAACGACATTGCCTGATACAGACATGAGGGATACTATTGGAATCCCTCTGCAAACATGCTAATATCTACTGAATGAAAAATTCATAGAAGTTGCCAATGAAAGATGGCGAATGGAACCGATCAGTCACATTGCCAAAACACTCTGGCCCGCCACGAACGCCTAACGTACCAAGCCTCTACTTAATCTATGGAGGCAGGACATTCGCATAGTGACTGGAGCTCTCACCGGACATTGTCTGATCGGATTACATGCAGCTAGGCTGGGCGCACCCTGGAACGACTACTAAAGAATCTGCATAGATGTAGACAAAGAGGAAACCGTCCCACATTTTCTCTGTCATTACCCCGCTCTGTCAAAACGGAGAGCAAAACTCTCGGAAGCTGTGATGTCTCATTGAATGAACGCATTTTTTGTCTGGATTACCGGATATAAGTAGGAACAACGAAGGCAGTCAATTTCCGAAAGAAACCTCTATATATTAATCCGAAGCGATGGCACTGCATTCTTAAGCCAAAGAGAAATTAATCGGAATTTCCTCGGACCGGCTATAAACCGTTAGTCAGTGTTGCACGCTATCAAGATATCAAGAGACGAAGACCTTGAATCTGCTTCGGCGTAACTGTCAGCCAGAATATACCGAAGCAAGTATATGTCCTGCCTGTTCTAGGTGAGTGCCTAAGCCTGGCAGATAATAGGCATAAAATATTAAAAAGAGACTTAGTAACACAACCAGCAGACTAGAACAGCAGCTACAGTAAGTGAAGTAGTTACATGCATCAGAATGCAGAGAATTCAGAAGGTTCGACCAAGCAATATTAGATATCGATGGCTGAGTGGAAGATCGAAAACGCTCTATCTCAAAAAATTGTTCAAGAACGCCCTATTTCAGAATTCGTTTCAAAAACGCCCTATCTCAGCTGCCGACTCAAAACGCCCTATATCAGCATATTTTCAATACATTTTGAAGTGAGATAGGGTGTTTTTCAATTAAATTCTGAAATAGGGCGTTCTTGAAAAGTTTTTTGAGATAGAGCGTTTTCGAACTGGCTGCCGCGATCGGTCGATCTTCCACTCAGCCATCGATATATACAAAGTCAAGAGAAGTGCATCAAAATGGCACAAAAGTTTTAATTAAACTTTAATTTAATTTAAAGTCAACCAGCACGGATCGTTCTTCAACCATAGAAAGCATTCAGCATTCATCACAAGACAACGGGAAGATTTCAAAAGAACTAAAAGAGGAGAAGGAGACGTCCACGATAGTCGGTCCTGTGTAACCGGTGAGGCCTAAATTTATGTATATCTGGACAAGAGGAGGTTGAACACTTTTCGTACCCTTGGACTGCGGCTGCTGGTAGTCTCACTGGCCAGCCAAGCTGTGTGGAAATGTGTCGAATGTCAGTGATGTGGCCAGAAGATATTTAATCGCAGCGCTGATTGGCTGGAATCATCCGACTGGACAGATGACGACGAAACCATAGAACGGGTAGACGCTAAACTTTTAGAGGCAGTTATTGTAAAGTTAGCCGACGAACCTGCGAGTACAGTGAAACCTCGATAAAACTAAGTTAAAAGGGTTGGACAAATGCTTCGTTATATCTATAGTTTCGTTATACTGTGATGAACAAACGGACAAATTTTTGTAATAAAATAAATTCTTTTCGCGAATTTTTTATAAAAATATAGTTCATACTACAACAACAAACAACAAAAAATCTCTAAAAGTTGTGCAAAACGCAGAAAAAATCACTTAATTTGCATACTAATTTGCATTTTTCTTATCAAATTTTTTAGAAAAATTCCAAGTGCAAGTGCAAGTTTAAAGTTTCTAAAAAATCGCGTTGATTTTTCTCAATTTTTTTGCGGCCGTTGTTATTATTTTCTGCCGAACAAAAAAAAATTCGAATATATTTTATATGGTGGCAACTGCGTTCTATAACTCCTCCATTTTTGAAGCCAGTAACATGAAATTGCGCACTATTTTCACTCATAATCAACAGAATCAAAGAGATTTCAATTACTAAAGATTGGATCACTAAAACCTATAGCATCCATATTACTGATTGTTCATATATGGGGGTTTCCTTTATAAGTCCTTCATTGGGACGGCTTAAATCGAGCAATTTCTTGAGCTATTTCTTAAATAATCATACAAAGTCTACTGATAAAATTTTCAAGGTCGAAGCTACCTCCTATACCACTTCTTGTTCAGATATGAGTTTTTTTATATATAAAGTAGTGAAGGGAAAAATTTTACTATTTATTTATTTATTAAGCTTTACATCAAGGTTTGTCATATCTCTGTTTCACTGTATTAGCAAATCTACGGCATTTACAAAAGTCTGGATGATAAGGAGAAGGCAAAATCCTCTAACGCCATTGATGACTCGTCGGTAATGCGGGTAAAAGCTTTGGTTCCAAAGGCTAAGCTTAAAATAGTCGCTACCATATTTCTATTTCAGCGGCGAAATTCTGCATGTGAGCCGATTGGTTAAGGCACAAAAAGCCTAATTCTCTAAATAAGCACGATCGTGGAAGATTCTCTATATCCTATAATAGAGTAGTACCAGGTTCACCGAGCTTTGCCCGGAGTGCATATACTTTTTAAAGTTTTTAGGATTTGAATACCTTTAAAATAATATTTTGGAAGAAAAAAACATTTGGATTTCGATATATATTAAGTAAATTTCTTACTCCAAAATTTAGGTGGCAATCCTATTCCGACATACGCTGGAATGAATGGTGCATATCTTGAGCGTATATGTAGTGTAAAAAAAATGCTGATTGAAAGTAACAAAATAAAAATTTTCACTACATAGAAGCGTGGCAGCCCTGATGACAAATATTTTCAGACCAAAGTTCTCAATAATACCTTTCATTTGATATCCATATTGCGGCGTTTTGTATAAATTGTGCAAAATCGAAAATAAGTGGCAACCTTACACTATTATCCTAAGGGATAACATTTTGTATATAGGGAAAGCATTGTTTAAGAACCTTTTCTTGGTACCCATGAACAGTAATATTTTTTCCCCTTTTTTCTAAACAAAAAATTAAATAAATATGCGATTAAAAATAGGTGGCAACCCTATTTAAAATATTTTGGATTAGGGATATTTAAAATACCTTCCTTTTGATACCCATATTAGGATGTTTTAATTAATTTGTAACTAATTTCGAATAGATGGCAACCTTATACCAGTCATCTCGGAGATAATGCCTATTCAGATAATCCTAAAATCCAAATCATTATCTGTGTAGAAAATTTCATCAAAATCGTTAGAGCCGTTTCTGAGAACCCTATGGATATATATATAAATATATATACAAGAATTGCTCGTTAAATGTAATAAGATATGTCCTGGTAAACGGGTAGCATCTATCTGTGACTTAAGAAACATCGTTCAAAACATGGGAGCAAGCACGCCGCCGAAGTTGGGGAAGTTGAGAAAAATCTTGGCTTGGAATCCATGGAGAAAGAATATAAAATAAGTGTAAGTGGTAACTGGGTAAAGATGACCGCGGAAATTTTGGTCCGACAAACCAACCTCTATATTCTGCTCCTACCAAATTTCTTATCATGTTTTTGATATGACTTTGTATTTGGTTCCTTACACAATAACCAATAACATACGCGTATCAAAATTCCAAAATAAGTCCCTAATCAGCTCCTTAAAGCATAGTTTTCATTAAAACTACGACTACTTAATTATCTTTTTTTATATTTTAAAGTAAATATAGGTACCTCTTACTGTAATCTATATAAAATATTTACTAAATTTTCACTCACCATTTCGCCCTTTAAAGCTGCTTAAATTTTCATTCTCTGTAACACTTTCATTTCGTAGCCCAGAGAAGCCAGGAAAAAGTGAAAACGGAAAGTAAAAACGTCACTCTGGGGAAGTGCGCTGCGCCATAAAATGATAACGGCCAACCGCAATGACGTACTACATGCTCAGTTGCATTGGGAAGTAGTTGCAGCAGAGGCAGAGAGCACACACTCGCCGTACACGTTTAATAAAAATGAGCTGAGCTGTGCAACACACACACACACACACACAGGCACAAAAGCAGGCGCGTAAACATAAATTTTTAATTATTTTCAAACAAATACGTGTGGATGCACATACTCGTATAAATGTATTTGTATATCAGAATACCTATACATACATGGCATTACTTAATTATCCATTTAAATTTTTGTTGTTTTTTTCGCTTGCTCTTACTTTAGTTGTTATTTAATTTTCATTTGTTACTGCTTTCTCGATTTTCTTACTTTATGATTCCCACTTTTTCGCGTCACTTAACTGTCATTGTCACTGCCATTGCGTCGCGTCGTTGACCAACAGCGTACATTCACCGTTAAATGCCCGACCCGAACTGATGGGTTCTTGGCCAAGCCAATTGATAGCTTTCCTGCTGCGCTGTAACTATGGTGAGTTGTAAGTGCCAAGCTGTGGTGTATGAGAAAGTCAGCCAAATTACAAACTCATACAGAAACGCGCATACACACAGAATTACAAAGAAAAATATACACCTTCACTTATCACTTAACAGTTATGCTAATGTTAATACACACTGCCTTCTTTGCTTGACGCGCCTGTTAACGATTATGTTGCGAATGCTAACGAGCTGACAATAAGACCATAGCTAAGGTGCCGTTAAAGGCAGGAATATGGCAACCGGTGAAGGAGTGTTAGCTGTGAGATAATTCACCACAGTTGAGTTGGATGAACTATTCACTTTATTTTATTTTACCCTTCTTTCGCTCTCTCTCCCTCGTAAGTTCCCCTTTTTTTTCTCTGCAGCTCTGGTAGTTTATTTTTTTGCTCCTGAATTCATTTTCTCATAAATTTGGTAGGTTTTTAGCATCTTTTTAGGCGTTCACGCGTTTGTTGAATTTTTGTATTCAATGCCTCTTCAATCTGCGCTTTCTCCGTCGAATATGGTACATATTTTGTCCACAGTGGTGAATTGCATGCTCTTCCCATGTTTTGTGGTTCTATTAAAGGGTAACTGCTAAGCTATCCTCTTAAGACCTAATTATGACAAAATTGAGGTAGAATATTTTTAATGATTCGTTTACATTTTGGGGCCTAAAAAACATTTTTAAATTTATTAAGGAGAAAGTTATCAATTCGTCGGAATATTTTTTTTTTAATGTATGTTACCGCATAACTTTGGACCACGTTGACCGATTTCTAAAATTCTTTTCTTAAAGGAAAGGTGTTACCTCTAAGGTGGTTTCATACTAATTTGGTTGAAATCCGATAATTGGATCATGAAGAAATCAACGATAATCTTAAATTTGTATATTAGAATTGAAGTCGGATTTGTTTTTTGCTTAAAAATTACTTTTTTTGTATACATTTTTTTTTTAAATATTTTTGGTAGCTCATTAGCCCATTGGAAGTAACACAAATACTAAAAGTGACCGCAATTTATCGTTACTTGTTTCAAATTGAAATAATTTAAGTGCACCCACGATCTAAAGAAGCTGCTTATCTTAAGAAAACGTGTTGATTTTACTTCACCTCATCGCCTTCTAAGCAGCGGCAACAGTAGGTAAGGACCCTATGTTATATTTATTCTAAACACGTGAAGTCTAACCGAACAGTGTCCTATCAATCCACACACAAGAAATAAGAGTTACACTTTCGTGAGCCTAAGGAAGCTTCTTTACAGCAGGTCCATCTGTCTAACAGTAGTCATCAGAAATCTGTACATATCTACGCTGAGATCGACTCGAGGGTGCCTCGCTAGCCTAGCTCATCCGCTGCACAAAGATTCCTGCGATATTTCAGGACCTGGCAGCACTTAGAAAGTCTGTTAAGGAAATGCTATTGCCAATTAGCTTCGAGCGCACCGTAAGCTAACCAAACAGTCTAATTACCGCTTGGCTAACTGAGTACATAAATATGTACAGGTTTAGCTCCAATGTCGACTTCGCGCAAATCATAAGCCATCTGACCGCTTTCTTAATGCCAGCTACAACTGCGTGGAAAAGTTTCCCGAAAATACCCCTCCAAAGACCCATTCGTCCCAGCCACTGCTTAGCGTGTATCCGTCTGAGAAGTTCATGTCAGTTAGATTGATGCAGTCTAGTCCTGCAGTGGTCCGTTTATTAGCGTTGTACATAAGTATTTAGTTGAACTCTTGATCTTGCGTCAGTTAAGCACCTAAGGCTGAATTTAGTAGTTGCCGTCGCAGCCTCACCTTTGGCCTCAATTGGCTTCCAGTGGTAGTAGAATGCAACTGATGCCTTATTTACTTTTACCTCAATGTTAGACTTCCACGATAGCTTCCTGCCTTGAATTAAGCGCAAGTATTTTAGTCTTAACGATAAGCGCCAGCGCACGCGTCCAATTGAGGGAAGAGTCTCGTGAGCTGCGGTATGTACTTCCTGGTGAACCAGGAGATTTCCATCCTACTAAAATTTATAGCAAGTCTACTTTTTGCTAAACTTTGAGTAGTCACCCAGTTGAAGTAGCACTGGAACAGATCATAAAGGGTATCCAGTAATTTCTTCCTCGCTAAAAGTTCAACGCCAACAGCAAATGTAATCAAATGGCAGGGTGAACTGGAGCTCCTTCAGCAGCTCCGTACACTGGATAGTGGTAGCCGTGCTCCATTCTGCCGGAAAACTAAAAGCATCTTCGATGTCTAGAAAACAGGGTTTAAGAATTGTTTCCTGAAAAAAACTACTCTATAAATTATCAAAGGACACAGGAAGTCGGTTTTGTGAATAGAATATTTACTTAGAAATTTTAATAGGCATTTTAGCTACTCAGAAACGGTAGTTGAATGATCGGCTGAAACTGGATTTTTCTTCATATTCAATATCAAGTTCAATAGTATGCAAGGGTGGCTCCACATTATGTCCTCATCATTTTTCCTTGTCCTTACAGAGTTTAAACTAATAACAAGACAAATTTCAGCTGCGTCCGCTTCAATCTTCCATAGACTGCATGCTTCACACTGGCATCTATATCTATATATATATACAGGACAAAAGATCTGTACCGTTCGCCCGATTTTCTAAAAATTAAGATGTTAAATCAAAGCGCTTGGTCTGTAGATGTGCAAACTGGTTTTACTTTTTCGAAATGAGTTGCCACCTGGAGAATAATTAAACTCAAATTTTCTAATAATCAATACCATCATATCTGCACCGTTCTTTCGATTTTCCAAAGTGATATGTCATACTAAAAGGCTTGGACTGCAGATGTGCAATAGTTTTTATTTTTTTGAAAAGAGCTGCCACCTTTTAAAAAATTATATCCAAATTATTAAAAAGAATAAATTAATTATCACAAAATGGGTATCAATGGGTGGAAATTGTTTTGAAAAGCTTTGTTTCTTAACTGATCAATAAGAGGGTTGCCACCTGTTGAAAAAATCAAATTCAATTTCAATTAAGTAAATTAGGTAAAACGAATTTGTATGCATCACCATATGGGTGCCAAATGAAAGGGCTGTCAGAAAGTAGTAGTATTTTGAACAGGGTTGCCAACTGCTTGTAATGTTCAATTCAGTTTACTTATACATAAGTTAGATGAAATTTAAAAATATTAATGTCAAACGAAGGAGTAATAAGAAATCTTTAGTTTGAACGCAAATAATATTTTTGATGTGTTGGAAGAGGGTTACCACCTGTTTAAAAAGTTAAATTCAAATAATTTAATAATTTCAATGAATTATTAAAATATGGCTATCAATTGAAATTTTTTATTTCTGTGGCGTGGTTGCCACATGTTTGAAAAATCGAATTCCACTTAATTCATCAGTTAATTAAAATATGTATTGCTATGCCCGACGAAGGAGAGTTAACAAGGATTAAGCTTGAAAATACTTTCGAAGAGGGCTGCCAACTGTTTGAAAGATCTAATTCAATTAATTAATACGAAAAGTATATGAAATATAAAACTACCATAAAAAAACAAAAAAATTGTTAAGAAATCTTTAGTATGAACTTTTGGAATATCTGAAGAGGGTTGCCACATGTTTAAAAAGTTACATTCAAATTATTCAATAAGTTGGATGAATTATTAAAAGTCGATCGAAATGGGTTTGAAAAGGCTTTATTTCTAAGCTTTATTTAGGAGAGTTGCCATTGGTTCGAATAATCAAATTCAAATTAGTGCATCAGTTTATTGAAATACATGCGTATCAAAATTTCAGACGAAAGAGATTTAAGAAGATTTTAGTTTGAGTATACCTTTGAAAAGGAGTTTAAAAAATGGGAGGTCAAAAAAAAGAAATGAGAAAGTAGATGTGTGATGAAGTTTTAATTTTTTAATTTGTTTCGAAATTTGATGAAATTAAAAACCTATACTATGCGAGACTTCTCTTCACTCAGAAACGACTGCAGTGTTTTAGATTAAATATTCAACACTCGGATCTCTTATAACTCTGACTAACATTTGGAATATTATTTAAATTTTTGATATTAAATTTTGGGCGTTTTAACGCCATGCGGGTTCACTTGCGTCATTATAAAAGTTGCAGGAAAGGGATGTAAAACTATTTCGATTTTGGAAAAATTTGCTATTTAAACCGCTTTCACTAAAGAAAGAAAAGTATGAAAACTGGCAAAAATTGGCGAACTGCCACGCCCACTAAACTAGGTGGCGGATATGGTAAATGTCATCCACTTCCAATGAAATTAGGTTTGAGAAATATCTATTTTTGCTTAAAAAATTTGTGGACTGGTGACATGCCCTCCCTCCCCCAGTGAGTGAAATTCGGTACAAACAAAATACAGCTCTCTAGCATTTTTGCCTGGAAATTGAAGGCAAATCTTAGTTCTATCATATTAGCGTAAAATGTGTGCCAACGCGGCAGCAAAATATAATTTAGAATCAAATAGGGGCGCAATCAGTAGTGAGTTGCTTAAATTCTGGCTGTTGATTTCAATTTAACGATTGACCATAATGCTAGCATAGCTGCAGGTGAAACGCAACACAACTACTTAGTAGTATGTAGTCGAAAATGTGGCGATGGTGGATTTGAATTGAGCGCTGTTAGATACACGACTCTAGCCACATCGGTTGCGACATGGGGCAAACAGGTGCGGATTGTGCAGATTTTGCAGACGATTTGTGTGAAATAGCGTCAGGTGACAATCAAATAGCCGCAAGCTCTCTTACGAAAGCATGTATGTAAGTGCGTATGTAATGCCGACAACAGCCAAATTTCAGCGACCAAAAACTATTAAGTTGGCGGCCTGGCTGGCAGGCGCAATTTCTGCAATTGTGCGCAGCAAATGATTTGAAATTGCGCGCAAATGAACAAATGAAAACGTGCAAATACACACATGCATATACATAGGTAATACATGCATAATCTACACACTCGTGCGCACATA